GGTTAGCCGAACCACGGCAGTGACGAAAGCACTTGAGCGGTTCGAAAGTTCGAAAGAAATTAGAAACTTATTCGGAAGTGAACAGAGATTATCTGCAGTTCAGAGGGTCCGGGTCACTGGTTCATGGAAAAACAGCTTCTGTTATTTGAGGATCAACTTTCGTGTGTCACATGCTTTCATATGTGGAGTCAGCTGCACATTCAAAACGCAAACAATTTATCACGAGCTTAAGGACGCGATGCACGCTGGGCTTAATTTGTGAGGAAATAGCAACTTAATAACTTGACAATCCGTACTCTTGACATGGTAAACGATGAGTGAAGCAAGTCGACCAATCAAGAGTGATGGTAAGGAATTCAGCAAATGAGTAACAGGATAATTACGTTGTAGAGTAAGTGGGCAACACTTAAGTATAAAAAGAAGAAATATGCTACCATAGACAATAAATTAACATCCCGTTCAGAAAAATAAATTTACGAACGTAAAAGTTCAGGCAACACTTTAAATTGGGATTTCACTGATGATATGCTTCCAGCTGGCTATTGAAAGGATGTTATTTTTTCCTTCTTTCCTGACAATGTTCGGCTTTCATCGGTCATACCCATAAACACTCGTTCTCCTTTCTAGCGGTGAACAAGGTGATGGCAAGATTTTACATGGCCGTTTCTAAAAATTGATTCTGTCCACATATTTCTGTCTAAACAAATACATAAATAAATAACTGTGTCGCCAAACGAGTGGATAAATAATGAGGTACGGAAGTTGTTAGGCGGATAGTTGGATGGAAGTGAAAATTGTAGGTGGATAAATCTACAGATAAGTACATATCTGCATATAAGTAAACAAGTTATTGTGTATGTTTGCATGTATGACAGTAGCTACGCAAATAGACAAGTAAAAAAGCAAATAACTGAGTGAACCGTGAAACAAACAAACACACAAACCGATCTGGTTTGTGAGTAATTACGTGCCTATGTAGGACTGTATGAACTAAATAAAAGAAAATATAAAAGTAAGAACTTAAGAAGGCAATTACGTGAGTAGGTAAAGAAGCAAGTAAGTCAAAGAATATAGAGGGCTGTGTAAGAATGGTTAAATTGCTTGCTAAATAGACAGCTCCAAAAATGTTACTCTCCTAGGTGCAGTAAAACAAGTAACTTACCTGTGGCTTTAATCAGCATTTATGTTCAGGATTGTATGCTTGACAGACTAACACTGCGTTTGTCTTCTTTAGATCCTAAGTACCGTACGCAAATTAGACGTTGGCTAATTAAATAAGTTAGCTTGTTAGTTCGTGGATAAGTAATTAGGCAAGTAGCCAGGTACGTATTTAGATAGCTGTGTAGCTAAGTAATAAATCAAATAAGTTGATAAGTGAAAGAATGAGGGTGTAGATGAGTGAGTAAGTAATACCTCATGGAAATAAAAAGGACTTTAAGCAAGTAAGTAAGAAACAAGAAAGGCATCGTAGTAACTAAAGAAATCGCAGACTAAGTAAGCGAGTCACAGACTGAGTAATTACGCAAATAACTAAACAATTAAGCAGGTAGTTAAAAGGTTTTAAGTAGCAAACTGAAGAAAAAGTACACAAGGCATTGACTACATAAGAAGAGCAGCGTATCTAAAAAATCAGTAAGTATATGCATCAGAAAGATGGGAGATTTTCTAGTGTTTTCGCTATAGTGGAAAAGTGGTCCACAGGAAATTAGAAGACAACCAACAGAATATGACCCCAATTTCTCGTAGCTTTGTTCCCCAAAAACTTAAAGTTCTCTTAGATATTTGGCTGCTTATTTTGGTACGTCACAAATGAATTACTTTGGTCCGTCTAACATCTTACACAGAGGGCAAACTCGTAGTTAATTTGCTCACCCAGGCAAACGTCATCGAGTCCATTAATAAACCGGAGGTCTATCGCGCGTCAAATTGCCCCAGCCTCATTCTGCAGGCTGAGGGTCGGTGAATCTTACGGAAGCTGGAGACGAGGACTGATCAAACCGTTTTTTCCCTGCAAAAGTCGGTTGCTCTTTAGCGTGGAGAAAACACAATTAAAAGGCGGCAGCCCAGACACAACAGGATAAATCAGACAGCTGAATTTTCCTTATTTTTCCTTTAAAAATGACGGTTACAGTTGTTTGCAATGAGGCGTGTCGTCGTGTTGCAACAAAAGGATGAATGCGGCGTCTTCACCTCAGATGTAAGTGCATCCAAATTTTTCTTGTTTGACTTAGCCGAGAATGCGGTACTCGTTGAGTGTCCACAAGGAGGCGTTTCAGTGTTTCTAAAGGTTCCGGCATCACAGTTTTAAGTGCAGTGCTTCGTGGCCGATGACGAGGCTCAAAATTTCACCAATGTTACAGAATGAAGGTTCGGATCCAATACTTGGTGAGGAAGTAAAACTTTCTCCTGAGTTCGTTCCAACTCTCAGTGGAACCTATTGTTGGCTGAACGTCGTGAGTTCATAAATGTTGCCAATCTGAAGTGAGTGACAAAACCTTGTTCTACTCCTTTCCTGCTGTATAAGTGCAGACTTGTCTCACAACGAAAGATTCGCTCCAGTTGCCTTAAGTTTGCTATCACTGTCGTCACATGTTAGTGAAGCATATCCAACTCGAGCATATTTCGAAAACTGTTAAGAATATAAATAACACTGATAACAGGCTTTTGTAATGTTTAAAATAAATGGCGAGTAACATTACGTAAAAGGGTGTTCCATGGTCAAGGTATAATCTTGGCGGTCGTTTTTAAGGGACAGTCTGAATCGCTTTTGTAGCAGTACATAAGCAACCAATCCCATTTTTTCCCTTTAGTTTTAGCTCTACAGCACGATACCATTTTGCGATGTCCAACGATTGGTTGCAGCGGCAAGGGCCACGTGAACAGCAACCGTAGTTCGCACCGTAGTGTCTCTGGTTGCCCGATGGCCGCTCTGGAGAAGCAGCAGCGGAAGCAAATGGGTGTTAACGGTGACACCAGTGCGTTGCTTGCCATGATCAGCCGAGGTAAGGCCCTCGAGTCTGTGCGACCGTACTTACACTGAGTCATGAGGTACTTACATTTCGACAGGTGTTCCCGCTCAGTCATCGGCAGCACTTCGTGCTTACCCGGACACCGTTACCACAAGTAACGGTCCATCGTTGTTGGACCAGACCTATTCCACGTTGAACCTGAGTATGCACGGCACCTTCGAGCAGCAGGTAAGGGGACTGTAAAGATAGTTGGCTGTAAAGGGGTCGTTGCTTGGTCGTAAACACGCGTTTCGTTTAGAAAAATTACGCACACAGTTTTAGCGGCTATAGCGCACCGAATCCGGCCCATGTACGAAGCACACCACCGGCCCATAACACATATGGCAGTCTAGCGCTGGACTTGTCCATCAAAAAGGTCTCATCGACGCCCACGCCGACGCCCACGCCGCCGCCCCAACCGCAGCCGCAGCGGACCGTTGTCCAGCCGGCCACTGCCCAGCCAAACCTACCACCGGTGTCGTCTCCGACGGTCAGCGAATTCAACGACGAAGGGACGAATAGCGGCCGGAAGGACACGCCCCTCGATGACAACAGCCGCACGTTCCCCGTCCCCGTTTCCTTATTGAAAAACATATCCGACTTCCGACCGAACATTGTACAGCCTTTCCTTAGCTGTCTGCTGAATTCACAGTCTCCCAATTCTTTATCAGGTGATCCAAAGTAAGTGATCGCTTGTCGTCCGTGTCTGCACGTATTTGCGAAACGTCGAATGTGCTCTTTCGTAGGTGTCCCACGCCTGGTTGTGACGGTTCCGGACATATTACAGGAAATTATTCTTCTCATCGTAGCCTTTCCGGATGCCCTCGTGCCGGCCGACCAAAGAGGCCGAAAGGCGAAACCGAACTGCTCAGGTA